CATGTGTTAAAGAAAGTATCTGGCATGTAGCAATAACTTTAGAAATATTTACCCTATGATTAAATAAATTATACTTTTTAAAACAAAAAAATTAATTCTACATATTTTTATTAAAATTATTCATCTTTATCATGACCACAAAGAAAAAAATGCCATCTTAATGTTAATAGTTTAATAATGATATTATATAAAATATATTTCCTAGATTTATATAGAAAAACATAATTTTAGAGCCAGCTTAAAAGTAAACTTACTATGAGTCAGCCAATGGTGAGGTGGTTAAGAAAGCTGGATATTACATGACTGAATTCCCAGTTCAAGTCCCAGATTTGGCAGTTTGAAAAACATGCCAGGTACATGCACATGCATGTCCAAATCCCAAGAAGGGAATGGAGGAAAAGGGATTGCAGTGTGGCCCTGCACCTGGGAAGTGCTTTCTCACTTTCCCTCTCTCTCTCTTTCTGTCTTTGGTGAGTACAAACTCCTTATAGTAAATAAAAAATAAATAAACCTACTGAAAAATAAATAAACCTACTAAAAGTCTGATTTGCTTTCTGAAAGAATAACTTTTCTTCTTTTTTACATTCCTTACCCATTTTTAAACTTTTTTTTAGAGAGAGATTTTGCTATAGGGCATGTGCACTCATCAAAGAGACAGAGAGAGACAAAGACAGAAATCCACCTTCCGGGGGGAATGGCCATGCCTCAATCCCTTGGGAGAATCCCTTCATTCTCCTCTTGGGAATTTGGGCATGCATGCACAGGCACCTTGAGTGAATTTTAAGCCACTGTGTCCGGGACTCCAACTGCAATTGGAGTTCAGTGATGAAACCATTACATCATCTGCTGTTCCCTATATATTTTTAAAAAAAAACTACTTGTTATTGTGAGCTAATGTGAAAAACAGTATTTATAATAACTACTTTCCTTTGTATTAAACATTAATGACTTCTTGTTTTTATAAACTGTATTATAAATATACACAGGAGAAAGAATGCTAAATAACTGAATAAATTATATCATTTGTGAGAAAGATAAAGTTCTTAATATAATTTTTAAATAAGATTACATCATATTTAATGACATTTTATGTTAATACACTCAAACAAAGAGAGAGCATCTCTCTCATGCTTTCTCTTTCTTCATCTCTTTCTGTGTACATTCATTTCAATACACTGCTCATTGGTAATTACCAAAATAACTCTGGAGTATTTTTAATGAATGTTTTTTCAAGTTTTAGTAATTTTTCTACAACTAGACTTTTTCTAACTATATTTGCTCAAAAGTAGAGAATAGAGAAACTAGCTGAAGAGATAGATGCAAACATAGGTATCATGTTAAAAACCAATCTTAGACATACTGTGAACCAGTGTTAAGTTATACACCAGGCCAGCTTCAAAAATGATTATCAAACTGTGTAAGGATAACTGAAACCCGTAACAGAGTAAACACCATGTGAGGATAATAGGGTGCTGACAGGGTAGATGCCTTCCAGCTGAATCATTTTTCTATTCCTGGAAGATTTTGCAATGGAGAATTAAGCATCATCTACCTCAGGGTTACTCAGTCAGAATGTATTTCTGCAGATGAGCTTGCTGATACAACACAGAAATGCACAGTGATAAGTCTTGAGTCCCAGTGCTTGCAGGCATGAGTCCTGCACACTGAGCAGGCTAGGTCAATGCTCCATCCTCTGTTTGCTATAGACAACGACAAATAGAAAACACCATGTAGCTGTAGAACAATACTTGATGGGAAAATAAGCCAAGCATTATACTGTGGTGTCTTATGACACAATTGAGAAATGAATCCCTTAGGGGGCCTGTGGAGAAATTCATAAATATGTAAAACAGTTAAGTCTTTGGAAAGTATATTACTTTGTAGGATTAGATTTAGAAACAGGGCAGGCTATTGCTTTCTTATATACTAGAGCTTTGTGACTGAAAACAAGACTTTTGAGAAATAGCACAAAATAATGACAAATGGCAAATCAAGAGATCCAATCAATAAATTGGCACTTGACCAGTGGATTTCCAACATGGGTTATTATCAGTTCATCCAAATAAGACATACTAAGAATCTGTCTTTTCATCAGCTAAATCATGTATACAGGAAAATATCTGCATTTGTTCACATGTGCTTATTCATCTGGAAGCTATTAATGGCAAATATTTAATCCAGGCTAATGTCCCTCAGCCACTAGGACACAAAGAACATTTTTGTCCTAGTCTGTAATACAAGCTTGGCTGGTCAAGGCAGACGATTCCAGCTTTAATTCAAGCAAAATATATTTCAGATTATTCTACTGCTTCAAATTATATTAAATATTCCAAACTGAAATGTAAATGGTTTTAAATGATTTGTTTTTTGAATTATGCATACCTCTAAATCCATGCATAGATAAGATTTACCCCTATCTGTAAATATAATTCTATTTCACTATGCATTTCTGAAAATGAACTCTCCTAAGCTATAAAACAACAAAACAAATGTACTTATAAATGCTTTATCTCATCATCTATACTGCTTTCATCAAGTTGGGCATAAAACTTATAGCAGGTATCGTAGTACTTTGAGCATAATAAGCACACAAAAGGTGTTGGTTCAAGGGCTCAAGTAAAGTAGTACTTTAATTAAATTTTAGAGAAAATTTGCAAATGTGATCTATACTTTAAATAAATGAAGTTTTAAAATTTTTGCCTTTTATTGTTAGAAAGCATGTGCAATTGTCAAAGAGAGAGAGAGAGAGAGAAAGCACCACCTCAGTGGGTTATGGTCATGCTGCAATCCACTTTCCTCCATTTGCCATCCAGTCAGGATCTAAGGCACCCATGCACATGCACCCTGTAGGATTTTCAAACTACTGGGGCCGAGACTCAAACTGCAATTGGTCATGTAGTATCTATTTCCCTTAACTGCTGGGCGACACGCCCTACGTAAATGAATTTAGTGCCATGTGGCTGTGCTGTTTTTGGAAAGGATTAATTCAGCAGATAATATTAAGACCAAAGGATTTAGTTACAAATGTCAAAAAATTCTTTACAAATTCTTTTAAACTATTCCAAGGAAGCAAAACAGAACATGTAGAATCATTAAAAAAAAAAAAATACATAGACTATGACCACACTCAGTACTTGAGAAAATAATGCAAATTAAAGCTTTTGATCATTTAGAAATACTTTTTCCCCCCAAAATAAAAAATATAT